CAATGGTCATGGGTGGTGGAGTTGTTTAAAATAAAAGAGTGTCCTACCTAAGCTTGATGGGTTATGAATTCCAATTCATGTACGACACGATAGGTTAAATGAGTGTTAGATATTTTGACGCGATTAATTAAACAAGTCAAGATTAAATTGATGGGATTCAACATGAATACAAAATGACACAACTAGAGCAAAACCCGCACAATACGATTGCCACACCTACCAAAAATGATATTGAAAAACAAAATATGATTTTTGTTTATTCCAATTTAGGTTGAAGTAAATTAGTTAAAAAGTATCAACGGGCCTTTGATTCAATGTACTTTTTATCTTTTGAAATTTTTGTCTTCTTGACATCAAGGGTTCAAGTTCCCTGAACGATAAAAGTGTTATTAGTTAGTAGTATGAATATCATTTATTTAGACGAATNGTCACCGCCTCACCATGCCTTTAAATTATAAGTCTTCTCCAGATGAGAGAACACATCTTGGCATCTCACCAAACCTCTCTATGCCTCTCCACTCACATATATTTTCTCTCACCCAGCTATTGTACCTCTTCTGGAGCGAACTATTACTCCATCTTCTGTTCATCCTACTTCATCAATGAAGATCCCTCAACTACCATTGCCTTTTTTTAGAGTGAAGTAGGTCACTCGTACCGAACTACTATATATCTGCGTGTTGACCCGATATTTACTATTTTGTCATTAATTACTTTATTAATTGTCTTATTTATTATACTACATCGCACACTCGACTGTTTATCTTGCACGAGACCAATTTGTACATCATCACTTATTTACCCTTATTTGAANACACGTAGTTTAAATGGTAACACATATGAGTTGTAAGTATAGACATTTTGTATTTAAATTTTGACAATTATTAGGACTAAATTATGAAAAAAAATTTCGTTATGAATACAATAGTCTCCAGATAGATAATTTTTTTTTTACTGGACAAGAAAAAAGAGATTAATCGAGTTGCATATAAATTAATTTAAATACACTTGACTGTTAAACCAAAAAAATAATTTATACAAACCCGAATCGGATAAGAATTCTATTGTGATATCTGAATTCTATTGGAAATTAGAGAGCGTAGGGAAGGAGTTACATACCTTTTCATGCCATAACTTACGGGTATTTATAAGTATATTTGGTATGTAAACGGGATTAGATATAGCTTACAAGCATGTGAGTTAAAGTGTTGACCAGGTTGGAAAGGCATTGGGACTGATACAAGTGTTCAGACCTGTTTAAAACCGATCTTGTCAAGTCTGTACTTAGAACCAACCCCAATTCATGAGGTAGTCTTTTTTATCTGCTTTTTACAGTGAACCGAGGTGCAATGAGAAACACTGCTCACCAATGGTCATTAAACCATACGAGATGAGTCAATCAAATGCTAGATTTTTTAGTGATTACCATATAAAGTAGTTCCTTTTAAAAAAAAAATTATAAAGTAGTCCACCTTCCTCGAGGGTGGGTGCTTTTTTACCACGTAACAGTCAAAGCGCCAACAACTTGCTGGAGGGTTCGTTGACGTTGTTGGGTTCGACTTGTTCCCTTTTCCTATAATAGTGTNATGATTTCGTTGGTTTTGAAATAATTTGGGATTTGTTCTTCTTCAATGGGAAGTAAATCCAGAATTTTTAGTTACAATGGAACCATGAATGTTGATTTTGAAATTCAAAACCCATTGTGGAAGTGGAAAATTGTGTTGAATGACCTTTTGGTCTTTTTTAATAAAAATGTACCTGGGGCCAAATAAATTTATTTAATATATTTTATCTCAAATAAGTCTAAATTTTTATACTAACTTCCATTTTCCCAAAAAAAAAACACTTTTGGGTATTGGGCCAGCCTTAAAATACATATTACAATAGTTCGATATAGTCGTAAAGGGGTTGGACTTGGCCCATCCACCATGGATTTCTTATCTTACAAATTGGGCCTTAAAGTGTTGTTGGACCACAATAAGTCCAAAGTGGTCTCTGAATAGAGGGATGGCCTTCAACTCCTATAGACAGACTGCTCTGTAGATGAGGTTACTGTGATAGACAATGAGAGGAAAAGACTGACCAAAAATAAACCAACCATTGTCACACATTACAATTCGGATCAGATAAGGTTATTTAGCTGCCTCCACGTGGCACAATGATGGTGGTGCTTCATGATAAGGCTAACAACCCAAAAAAATTCCCACCTTCGTGTGGTCGTTAGATGTGTAATGTCATGAGCCACGTGATCCAATGGCCACAATTTGCTCAAGATGAGGTTTGATCCACTCTGTCCGTCATATTCCTTTATATATACCACGAAGCAGTAGAGCAAAGTCTCATTACAAACCAAGGCCGGTGAACTGGTTAGCGAAGGGTAAGGAGAGAGAGAAATGGCTTCCTCCATGATATCATCGACGGCCGTCGTCAGCCGGGCCGCCCCGGCTCAGGCTAGCATGGTGGCGCCCTTCAGCGGACTCAAGTCTGTTTCTGCTTTTCCNACGCCTCTCCACTCACATATATTTTCTCTCACCCAGCTATTGTACCTCTTCTAGAGCGAACTATTACTCCATCTTCTGTTCATCCTACTTCATCAATGAAGATCCCTCGACTACCATTGCATTTTTTTAGAGTGGAGTAGGTCACTCGTACCGAACTACTATATATCTGCGTGTTGACCTGATATTTACTATTTTGTCATTAGTTACTTTATTAATTGTCTTATTTATTATACTACATCGCACACTCGATTGTTTATCTTGCACGAGACCAATTTGTACATCATCACTTATTTACCCTTATTTGAATAGTGCATAATTGATTGACAGTTTATTTTCTAATTAAATATATAAAGATTTGATTCGATTTTATCATTTATTTGAATTTTGAACATTTATACTTATTCTCTCACTCACTCACTCTCTCTCCTTATTTTCTCTCACTGTTACTCTCTCCCTTTCCCTATTTGTTATTCTCTCACTTTTTCTCCCCCCTATTTTCTCTCTCACCACTTTTCCCCTATTTTTTCTTTTTATTGCGTATTCAAGGTACAATTACTCTTTCTTTCTCTCTTTCAATCCAAAGTTGACATTCTTAAATGTCGTTGTATTGATACTTCAAAAGAGATACACCGAATATATCATAATTGATTAATATTTTTTTTTTCTTTTCAAATGTAAAAATTTGACATAATCGGATATCAACGTTATACCAAACAATTACTTCAACATAATCAGATATCAACATTACACCGATCAGTACACTTACGTAATGATACACCGTAGAGTTATACATGCATTATGACAGACCAAACACTTACATCAAATAGGGACACAAGANTTCTTTTCAAATGTAAAAATTTGACATAATCGGATATCAACGTTATACCAAACAATTACTTCGACATAATCAGATATCAACGTTACACCGATCAGTACACTTACGTAATGATACACCGTAGAGTTATACATGCATTATGACAGACCAAACACTTACATCAAATAGGGACACAAGATGATGACATCATAACCAATGCATCATTTAGTTGTTTATATAAATCAAAGACTTATATCATTCAATATCACCATATTGTTACACCAATTATATATATCAAAGTGAGTAAACCAAAAAAACTCACAAAAAATGTATATCATACTGGGACACTAACAAATAAATCAACGACCTATACATATAAAACAATATTAGGTCAAACTATTATACATGATAGTTGAACCATCTAATAACATCAAAGAGTTNATCAAAGACTTATATCATTCAATATCACCATATTGTTACACCAATTATATACATCAAAGTGAGTAAACCAAAAAAACTCACAAAAAATGTATATCATACTGGGACACTAACAAATAAATCAACGACCTATACATATAAAACAATATTAGGTCAAACTATTATACATGATAGTTGAACCATCTAATAACATCAAAGAGTTACAACACGACATATACCAAATAGTTTCAGCTTCAACTATTTAAAATTAGGGCTTTTAAGTTATAAATTGATTCACCGTCGACAACGATTTTGTGATACTGTTGCAAATTAAGGCTTTCAAGTTATAATTTACAATTTTGTGATACTGTTACAAATTAAAGCTTTTAAGTCATAATTTTGTGTTTTATCAAGCAAAAATAAATAAATAAATAATCTTATCGTCAATCGTCAGGTATGAAACCCTATAGACGATAAAGATTGTAAGGATGATGACGAAGACAATAATAATCCGGTGATGACTATAATAACATAATCCAAAATTGAAGGCGTTTATTGGTGATAGGACCTATAGTCAATCCTAATCGTCGTTAATTTTGCTTCATTTTCTCCTCAAATACCCATGATTTCGTTGGTTTTGAAATAATTTGGGATTTGTTCTTCTTCAATGGGAAGTAAATCCAGAATTTTTAGTTACAATGGAACCATGAATGTTGATTTTGAAATTCAAAACCCATTGTGGAAGTGGAAAATTGTGTTGAATGACCTTTTGGTCTTTTTTAATAAAAATGTACCTGGGGCCAAATAAATTTATTTAATATATTTTATCTCAAATAAGTCTAAATTTTTATACTAACTTCCATTTTCCCAAAAAAAAAACACTTTTGGGTATTGGGCCAGCCTTAAAATACATATTACAATAGTTCGATATAGTCGTAAAGGGGTTGGACTTGGCCCATCCACCATGGATTTCTTATCTTACAAATTGGGCCTTAAAGTGTTGTTGGACCACAATAAGTCCAAAGTGGTCTCTGAATAGAGGGATGGCCTTCAACTCCTATAGACAGACTGCTCTGTAGATGAGGTTACTGTGATAGACAATGAGAGGAAAAGACTGACCAAAAATAAACCAACCATTGTCACACATTACAATTCGGATCAGATAAGGTTATTTAGCTGCCTCCACGTGGCACAATGATGGTGGTGCTTCATGATAAGGCTAACAACCCAAAAAAATTCCCACCTTCGTGTGGTCGTTAGATGTGTAATGTCATGAGCCACGTGATCCAATGGCCACAATTTGCTCAAGATGAGGTTTGATGTACTTTGTCCGTCATATTCCTTTATATATACCACGAAGCAGTAGAGCAAAGTCTCATTACAAACCAAGGCCGGTGAACTGGTTAGCGAAGGGTAAGGAGAGAGAGAAATGGCTTCCTCCATGATATCATCGACGGCCGTCGTCAGCCGGGCCGCCCCGGCTCAGGCTAGCATGGTGGCACCCTTCAGAGGACTCAAGTCTGTTTCTGCTTTTCCGGTGACCAGAAAGTCCAACAATGACATTACTTCTCTCCCTAGCAATGGAGGAAGAGTTCAATGCATGAAGGTACGTATAGTGTATGTGGGTGGCTTTAGTATATAAAATGAAATTAATTGAATCAAAAACGTTGCCATTTCTCATTTGCTTAAACCATGAAAGTGCAGGTGTGGCCGCCATTGGGGAAGCAGAAGTTCGAGACACTTTCTTACCTTCCACCCCTCTCCCTAGAGGCCTTGGCTAAGGAAGTTGAGTACCTTCTCAGGAACGGCTGGATTCCTTGCTTGGAATTCGAGTTGGAGGTCATTCTAAGCTTTTCACTCTCTTCTAATTACAGTATTAACCGAGTTTGAGTATGCTCAAGTTCTACTTGGCTCACTTGTGACCGTGTCGAGCTTAGATTCTTATTTAAGCTTGGCCCAGGTAGAAATCAGCATTCGTGTTGAATTTAAACCGAAACTGAGCTTAATTATGCAATGAAAACTTTTCCCTTATTAGTTATTAGGCCAAGTGAAAAAATCAAACTAGAAAGATATTTGTACATTCGTTTAAAATTGTTCATATTTTGAATAAGGAGTTGTTCCGCACTAAATTAGAATTATAAATGTACAAACAAAAACTTGTTTTGCCCAAGTTGGGTCTAATCAAGGTAAGCCAAACGTTGCTCAAATTCAGCTCGCTGGTAAAGCGAGTTTAGAAATCTGAACTGATTCTGTTAGTTTTGTAATTTGAAACTAGCCAAACTCGTTCCTGGGATAGAGTAGAGCCCTAGTTCTAACTCATCCACAACACAGTAACGAAGAATAGTGGGATATTTGGGTTGATGGGTTTATGATTGGTTTTGTTTGTTTTATATATATATATATATATATATGTGCAGCATGGATTTGTGTACCGTGAGCATCACCAATCACCAGGGTACTATGATGGACGCTACTGGACCATGTGGAAGCTCCCCATGTTTGGGTGCACAGATGCTTCTCAGGTGTTGAACGAGGTTGAGGAGTGCAAGAAGGAATACCCCAACTCTTTTATCCGTATCATTGGGTTCGACAACAAGCGTCAAGTGCAGTGCATCAGTTTCATTGCCTACAAGCCTCCAAGCTTCATAGTAAACTAGGACTTATGTATGTTCTGAGAGAGAGAGGGAGAGCATTGGCAACTTTGTTCTTAATTCTACTTAGGTTTTTCCAAACCTTTTTTTTTCCGTTCTGTCCTTTGAATTTTCTACCTGGGTTCGATTTATGTTTGTCGGATTTCAGATGGAGTGGATGAGGTTCAAGTAATAAATTGTTGTTTATTAAGCATTATCAATTTGATATTATTGATCAAGTGCAATTGTGTATATTATTTCTTCATGCCTATGATACAAGTGCAGCCATCGTCCAGGAGGGACATCAATTTTAGTATAACCACTCAATTTATGGTTTCCTTGCGGAGTAAATATATGCTACTACTAATTTCGACAGTAATTTAAGTGGTAGTAGAGATGAACTGTAAATCAAGACGTCTAAACTTCGAATCTTGGTAACTCGTTAGATCCAAATCACAAAAGATTTATCTTACGTGAATACTTTAGTCCTGACTTATATGACTTATTTTTGATTGGACTGGAGAAATAACTAGTCGCAATGTATATAAATTAATCCGAATACCTCTTATCGTTGAACCAAATATTTTATCATTTGAGCTACATCCCTAAAATTTACCCAGCAGCTTCGACTGATAGTGAATGTTGATCAAGTACCCTTGGTCTCTGATGGCTACACTTGTGGGCATGCATTGCACCAGATATATAGATAAAGGATAAGTGGGGCTGTAGATAGAGGATAAGTGGTGCTGCCTTCTTCCACTGTCAATTGATGTCATGAAAGTTCAACTACATAAGCAAATGAATTGGGGTTAACATTGTCCTTTTAAATATTAATAAAACCTACTTATATTTGAGATCCAAATCGCCTTCGGATTTGATCAAGCCTTTTCTATGTGTGCTTGTGGCTACTATTAAAGTCGGGCCTAAAAATTGAATAAAAAATCCCGCCGCTCCAAGAATAAAAAATTTTTGTGACAAATTTTTTACGGCGACTGTATTCACTGTCGTAAAAGATTTATTTGAAACAATTTTTTGTGGTGACTGTGTTTGCCGTCACAAAAAGCGTGTTTGTATTAATATTTGTGGCAGCTATTTTTTCTAATGTAAATAGTGTCATAAATTCAAAAGAAATTTTTGTATTTGAAACAACAGTTTTTCCTGCCTCAAATATTATTTTATAAATTCAAATAAAATTTTTATATTTATGACAGTTATTTTTTCCGTCGTATATAATATTTTATAAAACATTAAAATGTTGTTTTAGATTAAAAAATAATTTATAGTTTAAAGAAGAAAAACTCTAAAAAAAATTTGTATTGACCATAATTTTTTTTCATGTTACAAGTAATATTTTTTAAAATTACGTACACTATAAGAATAAGGGTCTTTTGTGACAGTTTTTTTACAGTAGCTGTGTTTGCCGTCACAAAAAACATGTTTGTGTTAATATTTATAACAGCTATTTTTTCTGCCGTAAATAGTGTTATAAACTCAAAAAAAAATTGTATTTGAGATAACTATTTTTCCTGTCTCAAATAACATTTTATAAATTCAAAAGAATTTTTTTTATTTATAGCAGCTACTTTTCCCGTTGTATATAATATTTTATAAAATATTAAAATGTTGTTTTAGATTAAAAAATAATTTATAGTTTAAAGAAAAAAAATTCTAAAAAAAATTTGTATTGACCACAACTATTTTTCATGTTACAAGTAATATTTTATAAAATTATGTAATTTAATATTAAAAGACAATTTCTAATTCAAATAAAAAAAATTAAACTCTACAAAGTCAAGTTTTTTCTATCAAAATTAGGGGTGCCAAAATATGACACGACTCATTAACATGACATAAAATTAGTGGGTTTGAATTTTTCTTAAACTATCTGTTTAGTAAACGAGTTGATCCGTCACAATACGATTATAAACGAATCAGGTATTGGTCAAACAAGTTAGAAGAAATGTGTACGATATGACTCGTTTATATACCATTTACATAATTGAACAAACCATTCCGAGAAATATTGTGTGACCCTCTGTTGATGTATATTCTAACTTCTATTAATTATTTATTGTGTGTGTATATATATATATATATTATTTCAGTATTGTAACAATAATTTTATAATTTTTTCAGATGCCACTGAGAGAGTAGATGGTTTGGAAAGGATGTTCAATTTTTTTGCATTAATTTCTTGTGCTCATACATCGTTATTTTTTATAAAAGTACATATTTTATATTTTGTTTAACTCATAGGATTGTTTTTTTTGGATATGGNCCTTAAATCCAAATCACAAAAGATTTATCTTACGTGAATATTTTAGTCCTGACTTATATGACTTATTTTTGATTGGACTGGAGAAATAACTAGTCGCAATGTATATAAATTAATTCGAATACCTCTTATCGTTGAACCAAATATTTTATCATTGAGCTACATCCCTAAAATTTACCCAGCAGCTTCGACTGATAGTGAATGTTGATCAAGTACCCTTGGTCTCTGATGGCTACACTTGTGGGCATGCATTGCACCAGATATATAGATAAAGGATAAGTGGGGCTGTAGATAGAGGATAAGTGGTGCTGCCTTCTTCCACTGTCAATTGATGTCATGAAAGTTCAACTACATAAGCAAATGAATTGGGGTTAACATTGTCCTTTTAAATATTAATACAACCTACTTATATTTGAGATCCAAATCGCCTTCGGATTTGATCAAGCCTTTTCTATGTGTGCTTGTGGCTACTATTAAAGTCGGGGCTAAAAATTGAATAAAAAATCCCGCCGCTCCAAGAATAAAAAATTTTTGTGACAAATTTTTTACGGCGACTGTATTCACTGTCGTAAAAGATTTATTTGAAACAATTTTTTGTGGTGACTGTGTTTGCCGTCACAAAAAGCGTGTTTGTATTAATATTTGTGGCAGCTATTTTTTCTAACGTAAATAGTGTCATAAATTCAAAAGAAATTTTTGTATTTGAAACAACAGTTTTTCCTGCCTTAAATATTATTTTATAAATTCAAATAAAATTTTTATATTTATGACAGTTATTTTTCCCGTCGTATATAATATTTTATAAAACATTAAAATGTTGTTTTAGATTAAAAAATAATTAATAGTTTAAAGAAGAAAAACTCTAAAAAAAATTTGTATTGGCCATAATTTTTTTTCATGTTACAAGTAATATTTTTTAAAATTACGTACACTATAAGAATAAGGGTCTTTTGTGACAGTTTTTTTACAGTAGCTGTGTTTGCCGTCACAAAAAACATGTTTGTGTTAATATTTATAACAGCTATTTTTTCTGCCGTAAATAGTGTTATAAACTCAAAAAAAAATTGTATTTGAGATAACTATTTTTCCTGTCTCAAATAACATTTTATAAATTCAAAAGAATTTTTTTTATTTATAGCAGCTACTTTTCCCGTTGTATATAATATTTTATAAAATATTAAAATGTTGTTTTAGATTAAAAAATAATTTATAGTTTAAAGAAAAAAAATTCTAAAAAAAATTTGTATTGACCACAACTATTTTTCATGTTACAAGTAATATTTTATAAAATTATGTAATTTAATATTAAAAGACAATTTCTAATTCAAATAAAAAAAATTAAACTCTACAAAGTCAAGTTTTTTCTATCAAAATTAGGGGTGCCAAAATATGACACGACTCATTAACATGACATAAAATTAGTGGGTTTGAATTTTTCTTAAACTATCTGTTTAGTAAACGAGTTGATCCGTCACAATACGATTATAAACGAATCAGGTATTGGTCAAACAAGTTAGAAGAAATGTGTACGATATGACTCGTTTATATACCATTTACATAATTGAACAAACCATTCCGAGAAATATTGTGTGACCCTCTGTTGATGTATATTCTAACTTCTATTAATTATTTATTGTGTGTGTATATATATATATATATTATTTCAGTATTGTAACAATAATTTTATAATTTTTTCAGATGCCACTGAGAGAGTAGATGGTTTGGAAAGGATGTTCAATTTTTTTGCATTAATTTCTTGTGCTCATACATCGTTATTTTTTATAAAAGTACATATTTTATATTTTGTTTAACTCATAGGATTGTTTTTTTTGGATATGGAAATATTGTTATATTTTTGGAAATGTTGATTACATTTATTTTTGTGTTTATCTATATATTAAATTGAATAGTTGTATGGATATGAATGAGTCTTTGGTCTAATGGTATTTCTTATATTGTGAAAGTTTTGTCTTCTTGAGGTCAAAGGTTCAAGTTCCCTTCCCCCCTCCCCCACCAAAAAAAAAAATTGTATGGTGTATATATATGCACAAAGTATATAATATTGGTAACGANTATTTGTGTTAATATTTATGACAGCTATTTTTTCTGCCGTAAATAGTGTCATAAACTAAAAAAAAAATTGTATTTGAGATAACTATTTTTCCTGTCTCAAATAACATTTTATAAATTCAAAAGAATTTTTTATATTTATAGCAGCTATTTTTTCCGTTGTATATAATATTTTATAAAATATTAAAATGTTGTTTTAGATTAAAAAATAATTTATAGTTTAAAGAAAAAAAATTCTAAAAAAAATTTGTATTGACCACAACTATTTTTCATGTTACAAGTAATATTTTATAAAATTATGTAGTTTAACATTAAAAGACAATTTCTAGTTCAAATAAAAAAAAATTAAACTCTACAAAGTCAAGTTTTTTCTATCAAAATTAGGGGTGCCAAAATATGACACGACTCATTAACATGACATAAAATTAGTGGGTTTGAATTTTTCTTAAACTATCTGTTTAGTAAACGAGTTGATCCGTCACAATACGATTATAAACGAATCAGGTATTGGTCAAACAAGTTAGAAGAAATGTGTACGATATGACTCGTTTATATACCATTTACATAATTGAACAAACCATTCCGAGAAATATTGTGTGACCCTCTGTTGATGTATATTCTAACTTCTATTAATTATTTATTGTGTGTGTATATATATATATATATTATTTCAGTATTGTAACAATAATTTTATAATTTTTTCAGATGCCACTGAGAGAGTAGATGGTTTGGAAAGGATGTTCAATTTTTTTGCATTAATTTCTTGTGCTCATACATCGTTATTTTTTATAAAAGTACATATTTTATATTTTGTTTAACTCATAGGATTGTTTTTTTTGGATATGGAAATATTGTTATATTTTTGGAAATGTTGATTACATTTATTTTTGTGTTTATCTATATATTAAATTGAATAGTTGTATGGATATGAATGAGTCTTTGGTCTAATGGTATTTCTTATATTGTGAAAGTTTTGTCTTCTTGAGGTCAAAGGTTCAAGTTCCCTTCCCCCCTCCCCCACCAAAAAAAAAAATTGTATGGTGTATATATATGCACAAAGTATATAATATTGGTAACGAACAGTCCATAATAATAATAAAAAAAAAAATTTGGTGACGGCATTGTTGCCGTCATAAATATATCTTCTATTTTTTATGTCATCCAAATATGATATTTGAGACAGCATTTTTGCCGCCGAAATAAAAACAAAAGTGTCAGATTTTTTGTGATAACTTAGTTACGACAGCATCTTGCTGTCGTAATACTATTTGAGACAAACTGTTGCTGTCATAAAAATCTTTTGAGACCACATTTATCATGGCGAGGTAATGCCGCCACAAAAAGTATTTGTTACGACAAATAGACTTTTTATGATAGCATTTTACTGACGTAAAAACCTTTTCTTTCTTGTACGTCTTGATAGGTTTTTTTGATAAAATATTAACAAAATAATAATTAGATCAAAAAATTTTTGTTATATAGGTAATTCTTTGATATCTATATAAGAAAATACAATACAATTCAAATTTTAAAAGATAAAANTTAATTTTTCTTAAACCATCTGTTAAGTAAACGAGTTGATCCGTCACAATACGATTATAAACAAATCAGGTATTGGTCAAACAAGTTAGAAGAAATGTGTACGATATGACTCGTTTATATACCATTTACATAATTGAACAAACTATTCAGAGAAATATTGTGTGACCCTCTGTTGATGTATATTCTAATTTCTATTAATTCTTTATTGTGTGTGTATATATATATATATATATATATTATTTCAGTATTGTAACAATAATTTTATAATTTTTTCAGATGTCACTGAGAGAGTAGATGGTTCGGAAAGGATGTTCAATTTTTTTGCATTAATTTCTTCTGCTCATACATCGTTATTTTTTATAAAAGTACATATTTTATATTTTGTTTAACTCATANAAGCTTGAAAATGCCTTTGACTATGATTAACCTCTTAACTTCATAGTTGAAATAATTATAAAATCAACTAAACTAGGGCCTAATTGATTTGGGTTTGGAAATTTACTGTACCAGGTGTGAGCAGTCACGTCCTTTCATTTCATGTTGTGTAATAATTCATACATTAATTTTGTATTGAATCACTATAATNTAGAAATGTTGATTATATTTACTTTTGTGTTTATCTATATATTAAATTGAATAGTTGTATGGATATGAATGGGTCTTTGGTCTAATGGTACTTCTTATATTGTGAAAGTTTTGTCTTCTTAAGGTCAAAGGTTCAAGTTCTCTTCCCCCTTCCCCCACCAAAAAAAAAATTGTATGGTGTATATATATGCACAAAGTATATAATATTGGTAACGAACAGTCCATAATAATAAAAAAAAAAAAAATTTTTGGTGACGGCATTGTTGCCGTCATAAATATATCTTCTATTTTTTATGTTAGCCAAATATGATATTTGAGGCAGCATTTTTGTCGCCGAAATAAAAACAAAAGTGTCAGATTTTTTGTGATATCTTATTTACGACAGCATCTTGCTGCCGTAATACTATTTGAGACAGACTGTTGCTGTCGTAAAAATCTTTTGAGACCACACTTATTATGGCAAGATAATGTCGCCACAAAAAATATTTGTGACGACAAATAGACTTTTTATGATAGCATTTTACCGACGTAAAAACCTTTTCTTTCTTGTACGCCTTGATAGGTTTTTTTGATAAAATATTAACAAAATAATAATTAGATCAAAAAATTTTTGTTATATAGGTAATTCTTTGATATCTATATAAGAAAATACAATACAATTCAAATTTTAAAAGATAAAAAAAAATATTTTTTACAGTTGAGATCTCTTTAAATTTAATTCGATAGTTAATATTAACACCCTAAATTTAATAAAAAAATAAGCTCTTAAAGGTGTATTTGGAGTTACTTTTAAAAGTATTTATAAAATTTATACTTCCTCATAAATACTTTAAAATCAAAAATAGTGTTTTAAACCGCCCAACGAACATCGCCACCTCCATAGCCCCACTACTACCACCACCACCATCATTGCTATTGTACCACACCTACTGTCACCTCCATCATCTCCACCATTGTCATACACCACTGATTGCTACTACCATTATCTACCGTCATCACTTATCATTATCGTCATCTCATTTTTATATTTATTACTATTACCACCATTATTCCACTACCACCGTCACTCATTGTCGACATCCACCACTACCATTGTTGCCCATCACCACTCACTACCACAATCCACCATCACTTGTCGTCGCCCACCGTCATTGTCAACCATTTTTACCCCCCTCCCACCGCACTTACCACCACTATTCATCATCGCCCACCATTACTGACACCTACCTCCACCACACCAACCACCACCACCACAACAACCACAACTACCACCTATCATATTGTTGCCCAAAAGTGTCGGTTGTCTCCCACAACTACGATTGTCTCCCATTACATTGTTGACCATATTTTTTATTATTATGTATTTTTAGGCATGGACAATAACTAGTATGATAAGTATTGTTATAAATGATTCAGTTGCAAAGAGATAAAAAAAAAGCTTGAAAATGCCTTTGACTATGATTAACCTCTTAACTTCATAGTTAAAATAATTATAAAATCAATTAAACTAGGGCCTAATTGATTTGGGTTTGGTAATTTACTGTACCAGGTGTGAGCAGTCACGTCCATTCATTTCATGTTGTGTAATAATTCATACATTAATTTTGTATTGAATCACTATAATTCATGCCTTATTAGTGTTAATACCCATAAAAAAATTACTTTAATATATTATAAATTTTAAATATCAATTCAACTTATTTATTATTCATATTTATCAATCGTCTCGTGCGGAACTGATACCGTGTTGGGTGGGCAAGATTCACACCCTTCTTGTGGGTTCATAATACCAAAAGTCAAACCCCATACAAAAATGTTATGACTAGTCTGTGATCCACCTACGTATCCGCGTCGTCCCTTCCAATACAGCGCCTCTACCCATCAACCCGTCAACATAAAAACTGTAGAACGCTTGGGTCAAATCAGTATAGCATTTACGAGAAATTACATTCAAGCCCTTGCGGTTTAATGAAATTATATATAATGCTCTCATAATTTTTTAAAACTACATTGTACGCCATCTTTTTTGGAAAAATTGTAATTTGTTGATATTATTTAGTTTTTTTTACACAAATGAGCATTTTAATAATTTCATATACTAGGACAACATAATCCAACCCAACTGTAATATTATTAAAAACAGATAAAATTAGCCCCCACACCATTATCATTGTTATCACTATCACTGGCATAAACACCATCCATTGCCTCCGACACACACGCACGTACGTACCTTTCATCCATGAAAACTATAACACTCACAGTGCAGTACACCGCACCACATACATTACATAGTATCATTCTTTCTTTCTCTCCCTCTATCACACACCTAGAATATGCCACACACACATACTATGTCAATATCAAATGTTGAACCTGATAATTTCAAACCCAATAATTTTGAAGGAAAAAAAAGGGGTTGAAAATGTTAATTTAGGTCAAGCGAAGAGACATAAAAACATTGAGAATGCCTAGGGGTTGGGATATTTGGCAACATGCGTATTATTGGGAGTGTTTGGTGACAAGACTACTCTTGTCCTCGAAGATTTTTGGGCAATGTTTGGTCTATAGTTCTTAAAGGTAGAATGATTTCAAAAAAGAGTAATACTGGATAGACTTAAAAATTAGATTTAATAATCCCAACTATTGAATAGGTAGTAAGTCTCGATAAATGTTGCGATTCTCAGTAAAATCAATGATTCTAATTATCAAGTATAATTTTTTAAGTTAATGTAACATTGCTCTTTAAAAAAAGGGTTCTCTTAACATCCTTTGTTGATGGACTCTGCTAGGGGTTATTAATAAAATTTCATAAATTATGAGTGTACTCTATAATTTGATTAAACCACTAGGCAAGGTAAGCACTCCAATGAATCTGATCCTATTAAATTGAGTAAATTATATATATGACTCTCAAACTATAATTCTTATGTCAATTGAGTCCTAAACATTTTTTTGTATCAATTAAACGCTATAAACTTCCTAATTATATCAATTAAACCGGTCAATTTACCTCTTCAAGTGGTGGAGTGTGAGTAAACTACACATATAATTCTCAAATTATAATTTTTTTATTTTATTTTTTACAATTGTGCTATAAACTCTCTAATTATATATCAATAGAGTCCTTATGTCTTTTTGTGTTATATGGTCGCGTGAGTGACCCATTTCGACGAAGATAACATAATAAATCAATTAATATAATTAGATAGTTTATGACTCAATTGATAAATATATATATAGTTTAGTCTATTAAATTTCTCTGGCAGTAACAAACACATCATCAACGTCCTCGTCACCAAATCCACTGAGATTCCATCTTTGCCAAGTCATTCCGACTGGCTTCCGTCTGAAAAACTGTCTGTGGCTTTGAAATCTGTAAAGAGTCATGGAAAACATCCTTTAGATGGTAGCAGCACACTTTGATAACGACCGACCAAATACTTGTTCTACTTGATAAAGTTATCCTATCTTTTTTCTTTTGTTTTGTTGTTTTGAGCTTTTGAGGAGGAAGAGAGTGATAATGGGGAAGACAGTCAAGTTTCCAGGTATTACTGAGGAACTGCAGAACATATTGGATGCTAATATGGACCAAGTGGATGCGAGGCGTCGTGCTCGTGAGGCGTTCAAGGATATTCAGCTGTCAATTGATCATTGTTTGTTTAAGGTTTTGCAATTTGGTGCTTATTCGACTGACATTCATATCAACTGCCTTTTTGGCTTACAAGATTGGCTTTTGTTTCCTCTGATTGAGTTGTTTTATGCATATTTTGGTTGATTTGAAAATAATCAGAACTCTCAATTTCTAGATTATTTATGATGGGCTTTGGTTATAATTGATGAGGAAATGAGTGATAGTTGACTTCTGAGATTACTTGATTTATGATCTCTACAATTTGCTTCTGGTGCCAGAAAAGAAGAAAGAAATATGGTTTCTTTTGTTTTATAGTTAATTTCTGTTTGCATTTGCTTGGTATATTTTGTTGCTTTTGTGTTATGGTTAGTTTTGATGAGGAGTTGGCAGTTGGTAAGTGGGTTTTGTGTATGCTGGGGTTGGTGATTACTACAACTTAATGCTTTTTGAGGACTGAGGCATAATTATGACTAGGGCTGCTTGCACACAAAATTCATGGGGGTGATAACAAAACAGTGAGATATGGAGAGAGATAGATTTAAGAATGTGAAAAGACCAACAAATATGGGAAGTTAGGGAGGTAGGTAGTGTATAATATAGATATTTCAATGAGGACACCAAACCCCCCCTCCCCCTTAATTAATAGTATAGACAACAAGATGTGATACTTTCCTATGTCTTTAGTGGGGCTTCCTTATTTTTTGCCAAGGAATATACTTCTTACCCATGGTGTATGGAAAAGCAAAACTTTAGTAGAATGTTTGGGGTTTTGTAGNATTTAGGGAGGGAGGTAGTGTATAATATAGATATTTCAATGAGGACACCAAACATCCCTCCCTCTTAATTAATAGTATAGACAACAAGATGTGATACTTTCCTATGTCTTTAGTGGGGCTTCCTTATTTTTTGCCAAGGAATATACTTCTTACCCATGGTGTATGGAAAAGCAAAACTTTAGTAGAATGTTTGGGGTTTTGTAGACAGGTCAGGAGTGTAGGTACTTGGATGTTTGGAGGCTTAGATTGGCCTCCCCATCCCCATCACCCCAAGAAAATTATGAGGAAGTACAGTATATGAACTTGAATCGGCTCTCATTTCTATGATTTTTGCACATCCAATAAAAATTGATTAAAAAACGTAGAGCTTGGCAATGGCATCGACAGTGGTTTTATCATATCAACACAGACTATTATCTTTTTGCCTTTTGGTTCGCTTTTAACTAGAGTTCAACACTGCAAGATGAGTAGCTGCATTTATTGAGTATCAACTACTTCAATTTTCTCTTTGCAATCACATGCTGGATATTTTTCTCAATTTATGCCTTGTGACACAATTGAAAGTGCATCAGTATTGTGCCCTATAACCTCCATTTGGTACTTTGAGATGACAACAGGAAATTTATGGGCATCGCCTCAGAATTTTACAAACAGAAGCTTTAAGGAGAAAAACTTCCTTTATCTTCCTAAATCTTTATGAGTACCAAAGAGAAATTTTTTTCCTTATGACTCTATATTTTTTCTTTAAGTGTGCATTTTCGAAATTTGTAAATTAATGGTAACAATTTTTGGTTTTGTTTTTTTGCATTTTGCCTCTATTGGGACCACCGAGTTTTCCTTCCCTTTCATTTGTCTGGATATGGTGAAAGTAATAACTGGTTAATTGCTCTGTTTCTCAATCTAAGTTACTTTCTTTGACTGCTATCTTTTGTTAAATCTAGTATGTAGAGGCTCATTTTACATTTCTTTGTGTTTAAATGTCGTACAGATGCCATGTGAAGGATTGAAGATAAAGGAGGTAAAAAGATTTCAACTTTGGTNTCGTTAAATCTAGTATGTAGAGGCTCATTTTACATTTCTTTGTGTTTAAATGTTGCACAGATGCCATGTGAAGGATTGAAGATAAAGGAGGTAAAAAGATTTCAACTTTGGTGATTTCCTTTGGGAAATGCTATTAAACAGGTGTTTTTTGGCTGCATCCTCTGCCTATTCAACTTGTCTGCTCATGATGCGAGGCCGTTGTACCACCAAAAAAACCACGGATATAGGCCTTCCCTTTCCTTTTTCCTTTGAACACCAACAATGGAGTTATTGAGGTTGCCTGGCATATTATATTTATTTTATACCTGATGGCTGAAGTGGAGGGCCCTGGAAGTCCTTGCATCCAACAATTGCATAGCTGCATATGTCCTTTGTGGCAAACTATTCTTGTTTATTACATATGTCTAATTCTTCTTGTTTTTATGTGGGCCAAGGGTTTTTCCGTGACATAAAGGGGTGAAGTAGAGAGGAAATTTAGCATTTCCATGCTTACCACTTCAACTGTTCACTTGTCTGTGGCCTGCATTTTACAATTGTCATTTGATTTTGGACAAACTTATTTTTTTTGCTAATTTAAAAAGGGTATATGTGTGTGGTGGTGGTGGTTGGGCCGGGTGGGGG